TCTTATCAAACACTGACTGGGGAGCAGACCGTAAGGTCTTGCTCAGATTATATCGAGCTTTAATAAGATCTAAACTCGATTATGGGTGTATTGTGTATGGGTCTGCCCGTGAGTCTTATCTCAAAGAGCTTGACACCATACACAACCAAGGACTTAGAATCAGTTTAGGAGCATTTCGAACATCTCCAGTGCAGAGTTTATACGTCGAGGCGCACGAGCCCTCATTGCACGACAGACGTGATAAACTTGCTCTGCAGTATGCTACAAAAATTGCATCTCTGCCTCATCATATTTCTTATAACACCATATTTAGACCATTTCACGAACATCTGTATTTACTGAAAACTAACGTTATTCCATCATTCGGTATTCGCATCCAACCCCTTTTGTCAGAGGCTGGGATCAGTCATGACAGTATTGCGAATACCCCTTTGTTTAGTACTCCACCCTGGACTATATCGCCTCCAAAGATCGATTTAGATCTAACGAAAAACAAAAAGAGAGATACTAGTTCCACGGTTTTTCAGACTCTTTCGAGTGTTGAGGTCTAAATAAGGTGATTATGCTCCCATTTACACAGATGGTTCCAAAGATGGTGATCGGGTAGCTTCGGCTACCGTCACGCCATCTGGAACCATGTTTGTCAGACTTCCACCTGCTGCTTCCATATGTACTGCTGAGCTCCAGGCCATCTTTCAGGCATTGGAGTTCATTCAATCATCTTCTAATTTAAAACACGTTATATTTACTGATTCTTTGTCCTCTTTGCAAGCAATAAACAATAAGCAGCTTGTACACCCATTAGTAGCAGACATTTATCGTCTGCTACTAACACACATTTTCATCTTAAAGCGAGAGCCTCAACCAGAATGTGAACACTGTCATGTTCCTTTGACAGTTAAGCACATTTTGATTGAGTGCAAGCATTTCAAGGATAATAGATCAAATTTTTACCGTTGTCAGTCATTACATGACATGTTTGCCCAACCGGGTTTATATGGTAAAGTGTTAGACTTTTTAAAGGAGACAGGATTTTATCATAAATTTTAATTGTATATATATATATATCATTTCATTTTTGTATTTAATATTTATATGCATAAAAGTTGTATTTTATTTTTAATTTTACTAACTGTGATATTGTTTTTATTTATGCATATAATGTTTTTCTGTGATATAATTTAGCCTGTCTTGTAATATTCACCATATGTTTGGCGCAATATAGCCCGGTTGGAGCTGGCGTGCCATAAAACCACATTTCATTTCATTTCCACCATTTCGTAGGACCAGTGTACTGTTGTACCCCCTAACATCATATGGCTCTCTTACGACTTAACGGGGTGCTCTTATCCGAATGATGTTTGTTTCCCAGCCTCTCGGCCCAGGAGGCTGTGGTGTTCCCCTGGGAAGCCTCTCAATAATATCTAAAATAAATGAAACCCCGCTCGTTCTTTTTAAATAGTTACGTGCATGAGCAATGTATCGAGCCGCGGGAAATTGACCAGGTGCTTCCTTTACCGGATTGGTCAAGTGCAAAGATGCTACCCTAGATTTCGACACAGTGTACTTATATGGGCACTACGATTCTAACACATAGGGTTACCATATTTGGATTATCAGACCATGATGTCATTGCCCGACTTTAAACCAGACATATTCTTGTTAGCCGAGTTCTTGTCAGTGGTACTAGCTAACGACGACAAAACATTAACCAGAACCTCTCTACATAACTTAGGTAACCTCCACAGTATATAGACCCCATAGTATTACATATCTTGCGGTTTCATTGTAGTATATCATTCTCTGGTACACAGGTACCATAGCCATATGATCCGCTAATATATGTTGTGGTGTTGTTTTATATGAACTTTTAGTTTCATCAACTTCATCCCTCAACATCATCTGTTTAACATCAGTGTTGTGACAACTTAATCAACATATATAAATATCCCACTGTGTTCTTTTGTCTGTACGTAAAACAATTATTAGAAGTAAAAATTCCTGTTTACGGCCAATATAAATTTCCTGTGGTCTAATCTTTAAACCATGAAATGCTGTTGGATGGATGACATTTAATACAACTTGTAAAAAGTAGGTGTTCACGTTTGTTACAGATTAACACAAGGGGATGTATCAATCTTTGCTAAGAGAAAACCACAGCTGGCTTTGCAAGCTGTGGTTTTACCTGGGCATTTTAGATAAAAACTCTGCTAATTTATTGGCTTTGCCAATGTAACATCAAATGAAGTATAGTGTTCTTCTGAGCAATGAGTCTCCCCCTAATTTGGATGAATATTTAGTGATACCTTAGGCGTATTATAATGGTGATAAATTTATGAATTGTTTCTATTTCGTTCTTTCAATAGTTCATTCGTTCAGTATTCATTCATTCAATTAAACATTTCTATCTTATGTTTCTGTTAATCCTCCTTTTTAATAAGACGTTAAGCTACTAATCCTTATGACAGCTGACACATTAACGAGTTCAATTACTATCTTATTGTTTTATTTTATTGCAATGTCTTTTATATTTTAATCTTTCTGTTGTTGTTCTTAGTCTTTAGTTATTACCGAAGATTCTCACTGCTACAGTATCTTCATCATATATGTGTAGTTATTCTATTTATCATCTGTTGGGGATCACGTGGCTAAGTGGGTAAGACGCTGGCTCGCTAGCCTGGAGGTCGGGTGTTCGATCCCTGCATTGGCCGAGAAAGTTCATCCAGATTTTACGGCGTGGTTTCAGTGATGCAGAACGGAGGGTCTGACAAGGACAGCTGTCTAGTCGTTCGGATGGGACGAAAAACCGAGGTCCCGTGTACATATTGGCGTGCACGTAAAAGATCCCCTGGTAGTTGGAATTCGATATAAGAGTAGGCCGTAGCGCCGCTGCCCCTAGTCGTTCGGATGGGACGAAAAACCGAGGTCCCGTGTACATATTGGCTTGCACGTAAAAGATCCCTTGGCAGTTGGAATTCGATATAAGAGTAGGCCGTAACGCCGCTGCCCGGGCAAAATTTCCCTCATAGCATGGTGTATGCCCGTCTTCATTAGCCCAGTTTAGGAGCAGAACAGCAGGACGTTAAACCCCATTTCATTTCTGTTGTCTGGTTAACATCAGTATTATGACATCTTACTGAAAATATATTATCATCCCACCCACCTTGTTTTGTTGTCCTTGTGGAAAACAAATTTTAAATAATAATTACATGTGAAATAACCATGACTTTGATTTCCGTTTCGAGACCAGTGATGGACGGGCCACAGGGCGTCAATGATGGTGTGGTGTACAACTACTCCCGAACTAAGGCTACATTCCTACAGTAAAAAAAATATGTATGATTATCAAAACATATGTTGATATATTAAGACAAAACGAGCGCCCTTTTTTAAAAAAAAAAAAAACAACAAGATGAGGTAGCTTCCAATAATTTGCCCGCATCACCGGGGAAGACCATTAGGTCTTATGACTAGGTGCAAAATTTAAAATATTGACGGTAGTGTACATTAATGTTCTTGTTGAATAGTCATGTCACAAAAAAGCAATAATTTACAGATTTGCTTTCTGGCTTTTTGTCCGTGATATATTTATATATATTAACCATAATATTTATTATCTATTTAAAACGGAAATAGATTCCGAGTCTTAATTGAAACTTCCCTCAAGGGTCCCTCACATTATAAAAAAACAAACATTGTAAATACAGATATAACTATAGTAACTAGAACCAACCGTGTGTTGGTCTCATGATATTACAATAAACAAGCACGTCTTAGACATCTTCTGTTCAAACCCTGTAGAGCCCGAACATAGAATGGTCAAGGGAAAAAAATATTACATGGTGGGTTTTAAGACCGGAGGCATCAACTAAGTTAAACATAATGTTTTGATGGGCAACCATTTGTAACCATAATTGGCAATGTTGCATATTTGCAACAGCGGGTTATTGAGGGTACAATTCAGACTAGGTATAGCATGAGAAAACCCTCAAATCAAGAAAACAGAATTGATATCGAACAATATTCTTTGATTGAAAATTGAATGGAAAAACGAGACAACCTGGCAACACTACACTACAAATTAACACACTGATTCATGCACTGTAATAAGTTCTATATCAATGACGGTTCTCGTTGAAGCATAGACGAACGTCACACCTTTCCCACGCTGTGTCAGTATAACCATCTTTACACAATGCACATCGCCGACGTTTTTCGAGTTTTATTGGCAAGCGGCTGGCTCGCTAGCCTGGAGGTCGGGTGTTCGATCCCTGCATTGGCCGAGAAAGTTCATCCCGATTTTCCGGTGTGGTTCCCCCTTGTCAGGGATGCAGGACGGAGGGCCTGACAAAGACAGCTGTCTAGTCATTCGGATGAGACGAAAAACCGAGGTCCCGTGTACACATTGGCGTGCACGTAAAAGATCCCTTGACAGTTGGAATTCGATATAAGTGTAGGCCGTAGTGCCGCTGTCCGGGCAAAATTTCCCTCATAGCACACTGTATGGCGTATGCCCGTCTTCATTAGCCCAGTTCGGAGCAAAACAGTAGGACGTTAAACCCCATTTCATTTCATTTCATTTATTGGCAAGCGTCCATAACCATCATAACGGGCATCAGCAGGTTGACCGCGAACCACCCCTGAAGAGTATACTGTCACAGTGTCTCCACTTGGCCCACCTCTTTGTTGGACTGGGACGTGAAACACACAAAGAAAAATCTATTTAATTTTAAACATATACTAAGTAATTCCAATTTACGTCTTCTCTATAAATTTCTAGAATTTTTACCAATTTAGCATACGGTGATCCATTAAGTAAATTAAGGCGAGCCATTACATAACTTATGTATATTAATAATCTGGAAAGATAAAAAAAAAAGACAAGAATCAGATGATGTTAAATGATTTTTTTAAAAATTATTCCGTAATAACATTCCAATTGTTGTCCTCATGTAATTTAACATTGTTTTTTTTTTACATACAAACTTCTTTTGGGGAGTAATTACTTTGCCTAGAAATATCTACATTTCGTTTAATTTTTACATAAAAACTTCTTTTGGGGAGGGGAGGTATTACTTTTTCCTAGACATATCTACATTTCGGTTAATTATTATTGTAGACTCGATCTTTTTCCTCTCTATCCGTTTGAACCAACACAGTGGCTGGCTCTTTCACACACGCCGTCTAGTAGCTTATCAGCGTCGTTCATGATGTCCATTATACATTTGAGTATAACATATGTCTCTTGCGTTGTCGCAAAAGAAATCAAGCCAGCTGTGGTTGTCAGTAGAACTCTAATGTTTTTGATATTCCTGAAGAAAAATGAAAAACTTAAAGATACATAATGGAAGATTAGATAAAGAGCTGTCCGTTTTCTCTATATTTGTTAAAGAACCCACCCTCCCCACAAAAATAATGTTAAGATATTTAAAAAAAATAAAGCACCGTTATTCAATCACTATAGAAAATTGAAATACACCACTTGTTTTAGATTGCACATACGTTACCGATACAGTCGTTCGCTCGGTTAACTATAGTTAAAGTTTTTTTTCGATTGCAAGACTTTCATAATTTCATTTAAAATGGAACGGTCTGAACACTATATATAGATGAGAGTAGCCAGGTCTGGGTGGTTTATTTTTTATTTGTAGTCGTACCCTTTTATTATCTCGCACATCGAAATTTGCCCTAACGGTATCTAATATCTGTATGATTAAATGTTCTACCCAACTCGAACGGCGTGTCCGTCTTTATAATCTCCAGTTTAAGGACTTCAGAATGGATATTAAATTTCGTTGAGAAACGCCTTTCCACAGATAAGTTTTACTAAATCTTGGTTTCCTCCACGACCCACTTGGTAATTCTTAAATAAGAAAAAAAAGTTATCTTTGTTACTTTAAAAAAAAACCAAACAAACCTGGGGGTGTTAATAATTCATGAATGTCGTATTCATCATCATCAGATTCCTTCCAAGTACATTCTAAACAAAAGTTGCTCTTCACCCCATAACCTAAACACAATCCACTCAATAAATCAATCACCAGACCAAGACCATTTTGAGATGAATATCCACGCCTGTGCCACGAGAAATCATAAGACACGTCAATATCAGAAATGTTATCATCAGCAGCATTCCCTAAATTCTCGTACAGTTTTTTCACAATCGTTGTAGCCGTCCTAATGGATTCCTGACATTGTTCGAGTACACATTTACGACTCGCGTTAGAAATTTCCCAATACGTTGACTCGGACATACACTATGTACCTAAAATTGCAGCAAACTTCTGAAGGCCCGCGTAGCCTAAACCTAGTTCATAAAAAAAGGAACACTAAAAGGCTGTTTATTTCGAAATAGGAGTGCTCTGATGGCTCAAATTCTCCAGTTTCATCTTTTTCTCTGCACCTTGGAGAGCTATACGATTTCTCAGCTGTCTCATAACATGAGGAGCACTGCATTTGTAGTTCAGTAGAAAATCCCATGTGTCGACCAGGAACAATAGACATTGCACAGTTATCACATGTTGGGCACTTGAAATTCTGAAAAAGTTTGTTTATTTGAGTCAAGACAGCAATCACATAAGTTCTCTGATTAGGAGCTTCCTCCAGTGTCACTACAAGGGGTGTGGCATTTGGCAAACCATGTTGCCCTGGGCATAGGCGTACGGGGAAATTTTTGACTGGGGGGGGGGGGCGGTGGTGGTTGGTGCCCAAAAAATGTAGTTAGGTTCTTAGTATGTTACATAATAATCATAAATTCGCTGTTAAATTGGACACATTCAAGAACGCAATATTATTTTATACAACTTTTACAAAGTACAATTGTGTGCCCAAATTTTCCTAGCATTTAGTGCCCAAAATGGGGGGGGGGGGTGGCCGCTCGTACGCCTATGGCCCTGGGTTAACAATAATGTCGGAATAATACGATAACTTTCGCTTTGAAGTCGAAGCAACCGGAACATCGATATCTGCTTTCAGTTCCACATTCACATTATCATCAGAATCAGGTTCCATATTTACCGTTTCTTTACTTAGTTAGACCATCTTGATTCAGCACCTTTAGCAGCACGCGCTTTGAGATTTTCCTTTTTCCGCGAACAGATTTACGAATAGAACCGAGCTTTAGGCATTATTTATTTTGAAGAAAGTCTAAAACTCTGTAAACATACCAAGCCAGTGGCAATGCGAATAGACCGATATACGTAAATCCCCGTATGTAAATAGGACGTTCGACCAATCAAATAATTACTATGTAGTCACGTGATACAAACGGGCCAATGAACCGTCGGATATGAAAACGAGGCCACTAAACACAGGAATTTCTCAGCAATAGAAGCTTTGTAAAACTCAATTTCATTGGTGAAAATATGTATCGCGTCATCGGGAATCTACGTGAATAAACAAGTCTTCTTCCGGTACCAAACAATCATGGCGGCCGATGTATATTACTTAGCGAATTTTAGCGTGAAAAATGCCAATTTTTTACAAATTATGGACAATACTCGACAAATAATAGAAATATTGACCACAGACATAACCGTTTTAAAATTATTTAGGTAGGTTTAATCAGTAAATATAGACTTTGAAGGTGTTCTAGACATGTTAATGTATTGAAAAACACAAAATTGATTTGGTTAATATACTATTCAAAAAAAGTAGGGGATATTTGATTTTTAAGTGTTATTAAAGTCACCTAATGAAACTGACGAAGAAACAAATGACAAAATGAAATGAAGTTCACATTCATCGATTTATTCCAAATGATCGTTAGACTAAGTAAGGCACAGACTGACCATTATAAGGGTAAAATGATACCCGGGGTCAAACAGCAAAGGTACCACAGCATCACAACCAAGTCAGTAACGGGTAAATCCTCCTCTGTTTGCCAAACAAGCATTGATCCGACGTGGCATACTCCTAATGAGACGTCTAAGGTCATTTTGGTCCAGATTGTCCCATTCCTGTTGCAACGCAGCAGCAAGTTCTTGGACATTGGCAGGACGTTGTTGACGTTGACGTAACCTCTGTCCAAGCATGTCCCAGACATGCTCGATGGGGGAGAGGTCGGGACTCAGTGCTGGCCAAGGTAATGTGGTGATGTTCTGTTGTTGGAGGTAACCTGTAACGATCCTGGCCCTGTGACATCTTGCGTTGTCATCCTGGAAGATGAAACGGCGGCCATGACGTCGTGCGAACGGCACAACATGGACTGGCCTGTAACACGCCCTGCAACAACATGTAAAGCCGTTCTTCCAGCAACAGTGATGCCTCCCCACACCATAACAGAACCACCCCCAAATCGATCATGTCTGATGACGTCAACGTCTTGGAAGCGCTCGTTTCGACGACGCCACACCCTCCTACGTCTGTCCAAAAAATCAACAGTGAACCTTGACTCATCCGAAAACATCACATTGCTCCAGCGTCGATTATCCCAGTGTTGACGATCCCTACACCAACGACGTCTTGCCTGAATGTGATGATCTCTCAAACAAGGGATCACGCGAGGACGTCGGGCGCGAAGGTGACCCCTATGCAGTCGATTCCGAATCGTCTGGCCACTCACTCTCACACCAGTGTCTGTTTGAAGACGAGCGCTGATCTGATTTGCTGTGATGACACGATCCTGGGCTTGAGTTGTCGCCCTTGGTCGACCTGAGCGTGGTCTGTCCTGTACAGATTGTGTATCACGGTATCTGGACCATAGCCTGCTTATGACAGACTGAGAAACATTCATCGTCCGCGCCACTACCGCCTGTGTTTTGCCGATCTGTAGCATGCCAAGGGCACGTAACCTTTCATTTTGGGTAAGCCGACGCATATCAAAATTTGTTTTCTGGTCACTAAAACAATTAAACTGATGTTTCCACCCTGGAATTCAATGCCACAATGACTGTAACATTCAAAGTCAGAGTCGTGCAAATCTTGGGTTGGACCCCCATGATGATCCCAAGCATCACCTGCATTCCATGCGGTAGCTATTGGTGCGTTTGGGCGTCACATGTAACTGGAAATGTTTCTTCTGTTAGGTTCTATAGTGACTTTGTTCGTAGTCATTTGCATATTTTAGTATTATGCCCCCAAAATCAAATATCCCCTACTTTTTTTTGAATAGTATATTTTTGTAAACGTAACCGATGTCTTTTAAAAAGGGTAAACTTACCAGATAAACATTCCTTATAAATACAAGGAATTGGCTGACAAGTATGTTGAAGTTTGGCGTTCATTGAGGTAATAAACTCTTGTACTCTAGTAAGCATTCTCGTCGGATGGATGTAAATATTTGGAAATATACTCTCCGCGGTCGAAACGTTTTCTCCTTTCCAGACATTCATTCCTGCCATTAACAAGCCCGAACGAGAAATCATTCGTGTTACCAACAACTGAATTTGTATCATTTCGAAACATACTCGCCTGTATGGCTACAAGCGTACTACCATAATCGAACGCCAATGGAAAGTCCAGCGATATCTATTTTTTGTCTCCAAGGGAGCTTTGACAATGTTGGACCGTCTGCAACCGTATTTATGTCTTTCGGCCAATAAAATTGGAGCCATTGTCAAAAAGTACCTGAATCGGTTTCCCACGGTGACTAACGGATCTTGAGAAGGCTGAAATAAAGCTGTCTGTATCCAATCCCCAGGCTATCTCAAGGTGAACGGCCCTTGATGCAAGACATGTAAATAAACACAAATTTCGTAGACCACCACAGGAAGTGCCCTTTTGCAGGAACTCTTTGAAGAGTAGTGTTCAACCAGAACCCCACATATATGAAATAGAACATGCAACCGGTTGCCCCTGTATCTAGGCAGTAGACCCCGTGGCAAATTCTCATTATTAAAGAAAGTTATAAAGCCCCTTGGATCACCTTTTCCATCTTTGTACCTCATTTTGTTAAATGAGAGTACAATGTTCCCTGCTATGCAGTCTTTGCCCCACAATCCCTTTTCTTGACCCTCCTCTTCACACTCCTTTAAGGCAGCTTTGGATTTCGTGGCAATGGAGTCAAGGGGGTGAAGATGGCAATTTAGTTCGTTCAGTTCTTTCCCTCATTTATCCTCGACAATCCTCACAGCGGCACAGCTATCTGTCATAGTATTGGCAATATTGTTGATCATACTTTGCTCCGAATCCTTCTCTTCCCCTGTGAAATACATATGGACACCAGCAAGATTGTCAATACAATCAATAATATGTGTACTGTAATCCTCTGCTGTTCCACCCGGCAGTTCATCAATAGCTACCACATAACAGTTCTCTTTGGTCGTAACATGGATACTGTTTATGTGGTCCCCCACTTGGGCTGTGCCATCAAAACCCAAGGTGTTGTTTTCATTGGCAAGAATCACTTCAGCGGTTTGCAAATCAGCAATGCCCCCTAATTCCCGAGTCATTCTTTCGACGGTAGTTCTGTGTGGAATATCAGATAGAGTTAAACCACAACGCTTCGCAAATTTTGAGATCAGGTGTGGAATGTTTGCAGTAGGCACTTGGTCAGAGATGGCGTCGAAGACAATCATGCGCATGTCTACATCGTAAACTTTCCCATTGGCCTTGGACGACTTTATTGCTTTCTCATATTCGTCAATCTTCTCTTCTAAAATAAGTTTTTCATTTTGAAGCGCCACTATCTCATCCTCCTTTTCCTTGCACTTGTGTATAAGATCTAAGAGTTCTACTTCAAAGGAACTGTCAGTCTGTGACCTCTCCTTTGACTTCTTTTTCCTATGATAACTCTTCAACGCTGAGTGTCTTTTGTTCAGAGACCAGTACTTAGCCCTTATGTTCCCCACATCATCATCATTACTGCCCCCTGATGACAATTTGGCTTTTAGTAACTTAATGTGGGCATTTTTTCGATTGATTGTTTGATTTAGTGTTTTGATTGCTCGTTTTTTCTTTTGCTCCACTAGAATGTCTCTTGTTGTATCCATCTTTTCTATCTGCCGTAATTCTTTTAAACTATTTCGCAGCCTTTTACAGTTCACACATTTGGCAATCTGCCGCGTTTTGATAGGCGAGGCGGTGGGAACAGATTTGGTGAGGCGTGCTAATGGCGCATCCACGTCCATGGGAACATCAGAGTACTGTGGCCTGGACGAATCATCCTGCTGCATGCCAGGATCCAACACAAATGAGACCTGACAAATGGTACAGAATTTCTGGTATTCATTGGGATCCGACGGTTTAGTGAATTTTTCTAGTGTCTCTGCAACAATCCTTTTTATTCCTGCGTCGAGGTAGCGAATGATCGATTCTGTATGCTGTGTATCCTGCGATGTAGAAGGTATATGTGTGAAAAGTTCCTTTTGTGTTTTTGTTCGGCTGCGATCTCCGCTGGTTACGTAAATGTAAAGAACATGTCCCTTCACAAAATCCGAGGAAACAGCAGGCAGTGTCGAATAGTTGTCCAAGATGTGCTGCATGCAAGCAAAATAAGAATACATTCAACAGCAATTCCCAATAATAATGCATTGTATATACAGAACCTATATGTCACTAAACATCTCTATAGTTGTTACTGACAAGTTAAAATTCCATTTCTAGACATATCGTTCTTATCACAGATCTCTCTTAGTGACAGATTTAACTAATGGGTCCACACAATTTTAAAAAGTTATCAAGGGCAATAATTCCAAAAGTAATTATCAGCATCTTCATCTTATGAATTTAAAGTCAATCGGATGATAACTGTGGTCTCTAGAGCATCTAGAAGATTGTGCAAAGTGATCAAGGGCAATAACTTTGGCAGTGATTATTGGAAAATTACTGAAAATCAATAGGCTTCTTCGTCTCATGACCTTAAACACTGTGTCTTGGATGATTGTTTATGTGTGGTGCGGCCCTCCTGCACTTACTATTTAGACTGTAGAGGGGTGACGGCAATATAAAAATTGAACTTACATCTTTCTATATTCTCAGAGTTGTCACTGTAAATAAAATAAGATATTAGAATGATTGAAAGACTTTCAACATATGCTTCAATTTCTTAAATATATATGTTGACAGGTATGCTCTTTGAAGAAAATTGAAAAATATATTAAAATATAGGTTGCCAGGCCATGCAAAATACAGCATCGAAATCGTCCCAACAGTCCATGAAGGTTTTCTCTTGTGCATTTATAAAGAGTTAAGAACACCAACCTAAAAAGTAATTATTGGAAATCATTAAAATTGGTCTTTTCCTAGCGCCTACATAAACAATCAATTGATAAATATAGTCGCTATCTGTAAAATCAATCATCAGAAATCAGGGAAATGAACAGAAAAGATTGACAACAATAAATGTTGACATTTAAATGTACCAGTAAGTGTATAATAAGAATCAAATAAAGAACAACGTCATTTAACTTGATTAGTTCTCTTGACTTATAATTGATGATGATGGGGATGATGTTCGTATGTTGATTACACACAAACGAATATGGTAATTTTGTAAAAGGTAAAAGTTACTCAATACATTGGTAAAACGATACATTTATGCAGATAAAATAAGCAAGATTGATTACAAATTAGGACTTTTATTTCAAATATCATCTTTAATATACAACAGAGTAACCCATCGATCAGTGTGAAAAATTAACAGTAAAATTAAACTCAAATTAATAATTGACCTCATTTCTTCATTATTTATTCCTTCAGCGTTAATTTCTTCAGTATTACTTTCGTCACTTGGTGTAAGCTTATTTCTAAATGAAAAAAGTTAGTTCAGATTTACTTCGCTTTAATGTAACCTCAAATATATACAACCAAGAAAGTCAAAGAATCAACATAACATTCAAAGAAGACTTTGCTATAAAAATTTGATTAAAAGAGAAGGAAATAAAGGTGTTCTTTGTCTGCCAATGAAATTATTTTTAAGCAGTGCTGGTGGTATACAGAACTTGTACTACACTGAAGGTGGCATTTGAATCTAGTGTATTAATTATTCTAATAGGGGCAGCCAATCAATTAGCTACTATGGTAGGTACAGGTAAGTAGAATGTATAGGAGTGTGTCTGGAGCAAAAAACGATATCCCATGGTTGTGGATAAACGAAATGCTAGGTTAGTTCTGAGTTCATGAACTCTCGTCAGTATATAATAGTTTTGATGTCATAGCCAAAATCCCCCTCTTTTCTACCCTATATTTCTGCGGTGGGCAAAGCTTAATTTGTCATTAAATTCCTTTATTTTCTAATCAATAAAGGAAATTAAATTAAAGCAGTTTGCTTATTTATTAATATAGACCATGTTAACCCGTAAATTCACTTAAATTTCCACTAAAGGTCAGCCCGTTGTCAGTCAAAGGTCATCTGGTGATAACACAAAAATCATACAAACCTATTTGGTTTAATATTAAAATATTCCTGTGCTGATTTGATTAATTTAACCAATTGTTCCTTTTTTGCCCGTGGTTGTCCTCCTGTAAATATATATAAATTTACAAAATGTTCAAGCATAATTAAATGTTTTCAAATCTCAATTAAGGGGCAAAGGGTTTTGTATGAATAGTGGAGGATTTGAATAATTCATGAGAATAAAACATCTATGTTTAAGTATCTTCATCTAAATTCTTGTTACACTGTACTTCTGGAATGAGTTAACATCAAATTTTAAAGACAGTAATATTAAGATGCGGAAAAGTTTATTAGCACTACAATTTCCAACACAATTTCTCTAGCTAAAGCTCAATTATAACATGCTTAAACGAAAAGAAGTGCTTTTCAAATAGTCAACCTTTTAAATGCTTTCAAGATGATCAACAGTATTTACTTCAGCGTCTGTAAATTCATTTAAGAATTGAATGCTGAATTATATGGTTTATGGATGTATTAACATCACTTGGTCGCGAGGTTAAATTCAATAAACTTCCAAAATTCCAAACAAGTATGTGTACTTAAAAGCATTGATGTGCAACCGCTTGTTTGGCCATATGGGACTGTTTTTGAGAACAGCGTCATGCTTTTCTGATTCTTCTTTTATCTCTGTCTGATCTGACATTTATCGGTATATAACTTTCTGTTTTTCTCTTTACGAAGGAAAGCTTCCTTTGTTCCTGGGGTGACTTTTTCCTCTCTCTGTAACTGTTCGCTCTTTCAGCGGGTGTTAGATGCATTCTGCAACGGAAAACATTATGAAATAAGTGCAGGCGAGGGTTCATCCTCCTTGCCTCAATCCGAAGTTGTTGGGATCATTCCTAACACGTCCTCTCAGAATGGCAAGGGGTCATCTCCCTCGCCTCCCCTTGAAGCTGTTATCCTTGATTCCAGTTCTACTGGATCAGGATCGCAGTTAAAGGGTAATTCTTCAAAGAAAGATAAATTAGCAAAGTTTCGTGAGGGAGGGAAGAAGGGTTCAAAAGACCCAATCTCTCTCTATAATAGATATGGGGATGATCTGATGGACGGTATTGCCGTCGTGGATGTCCATACGGATCCACATGGTAAGCCGTCAAAAAAATAAAATTTCCTGACAATGGTAAATTCCATTATTCAATGGAATTGTCGTGGTTTAAAACCAAATTTTAATGAAGTCCAATTATTAATTCAAAAGCACAATCCTTTAGCTATTTGTTTACAGGAAACTTTTTTACGGAATTCTGACACTTTGTCTTTTAGACAATTTGTTGGTTACCATCATCATTCAGCTGGTGATGGTAGAGCTCATGGGGGTGTCTCTATTATTCTTAATGGAGATATCCCTCAAAGTAAAGTCACACTCAACTCGCCTTTACAGGCAGTTGCAGTAAGGGTGACTTTGCATATTCCTATAACACTCTGCTCTGTATATCTTCCACCAAGTTTACATCTTAATCCCAGAGATCTTGATGACCTTGTTGCACAGCTTCCTCTCCCATTTATTATTACGGGGGATTTCAATGGTCATCATTCGCTCTGGGGTAGTCCAGATGATAACAACAGAGGTAAACAAATAGCGGACTTCATTAACCTTAATAATTTGTGTTTATTAAATGACGACTCGCCTACTTATCTACATCCTGCCACAGCTTCTTTTTCTTCCCTAGATCTCACCATTTGCTCTCCGGTCCTGTTTCAGGATTTTACATGGAGAGTAAATGAAGATCTGTGTGGTAGTGATATAAAAGAGTTAGAAGATGCAGTTGAGCCCATGGCCTTATTCACTTCAATTCTTCAAGATGTAGCTGAGCAGGCGATTCCAAAAACCACGACTGAACCAAAACGTTTCAATAAACCATGGTATAATGACGATTGCAAATCCGCTCTAAAAGAGCGTGATCGTATCCTAAGACGACTAAAGAACCATCCTTCCATGGAGAATATTGCTGCATACCAGATGGTCCGGGCGAAGGCCCGTAGAACCATACGTCAAGCAAAGAAGTCTTCATGGGAAGGTTACGTCTCTAGGATCAATTCCCGTACAATATCAAAATCGGTATGGGATAGGATTCGTAGGATTAAAGGTAAAAGTAGTGCATTATCAGTTAACCATCTAACTGATTGAGTGCAAGCATCTCAAAGATACAAGATTACGGCATTACCGTTGCCAGTCACTTCATCAGTTGTTTGCCCAAACCGGGTATATACAGTAAAGCGCTAGATTTTTTTAAAAGAGACAAATTTTTATCGAAAATTTTAATTGTATATATTTGAATTTCACCTTCATGGTTTAAATATATATACATAAAGTTTATATTTAGTTTTATTTGATATTTACTGTGATATTTGTTTTTATTTATGTATATATAGATAATGTGATTATTTGTTTCTAGTTTGTCTATTTGTTTCTAGTTTGTCTCGTAACATCATCATATGTTTGGCGCAGTATAGCCCGGTTGGAGCTGACGTGCCATTAAACAACATTTCATTCATTCAAGCATTGTTTACAGAGAAAGAGAAATGGAGTTTAACGTCCACTCGACACAAACTAGGTCATTTCGGGACTAACATATGGTTTAATTTTATTTCAATAATTCGCTTGCGCGTAGGGGTCTTTAGCAGTGGGAGGAAAACGGAGGACCCGGAGAAAACCCACGAGGTTGGACAGGCGACCCTACTCCTTGCCACGTACAACCGGGGATTCGAAACCACGCCAGTTGACTCAATGACAGACTTTATGATACAGCGCGCGCACGCTAACCATTCAGCCATCCAATCCCCCCTCATTGTTTACAGTTCACGCGGGGAGGGGATTGTGTCACGTGCTTTCGTATTCACACACGGTGTTGCTTATTATTATTATTATTACATGTATTTATATAGCGCTCCTTTCATGATAAACATGTTCAGATGCGCTTTACAATAAAAATAACATAACACAATGGATAAAATCACAATATCAATATAGAATATAGATAGGGTTTTAAAAATATGTAGTTCGTGTAAAAATAGAAATATAGAAATCTATATTTAAATAAAAAAAAACCCAGTAATATATAAAGTGTAAAAATAGAATTATGTAAAAGCGAGAGTAAATAGGTGGGTTTTGAGTTTCGTTTTAAAAACAGGAAGTGAATTGCAACTGCGTATACTGTGTGGGAGTTTATTCCATAATTTTGGTGCACAAATGGAAAACGCACGATTACCACAGGAGGGAAGGTTTGATCTTCAGAAGAACGTAAAGTTCGGGATGGTGAATATAAAGTTAAAAGTTTGGATAAGTAAGATGGGGCAAGAACCGGGAGCCAGTGTAAATTATAAAGGATTGGGGTTATATGTTCTCTATAAGAAGCACCAGTAATAAGCCTAGCTGCAGAATTTTGTAGTTTATCGATAAATTTAGCAGGGATACCATATAATAAAGAGTTCATGTTATCAATGCGAGAAGTCACTAATGCATTAACAAGAGTTTTCACACAATCTGCAGACACATTCGGTTTCAGGTGTGGAATGAATGAATGAATGAAATATGGTTTTATGGCACGTCAGCTCCAACCGGGCTATATTGCGCCAAACATATGGTGAATCTGAGACAAATTATAACAATATCACATAAATGAATTTATATATGTAAATAAAAACAAATATCACAGAAAATATATTAATTAAAAATAAATATAACAAATCTTTTACATATATAAATATTTAAAACGATATACATGATTAAATATATACAATTAAAATTGATTATAAAAGTTTGTCTCTTTTAAAAATGTTAGCACTTTGTCATATAGCTCCGGTTGAGCAAATAGCTGACGTACTGACTGGCAACGGTAATGTTTAGATCTAATGTTCTTGAGATGTTTGCACTCAATCAAGATGTGTTTCACTGTCAAAGGAACATGACAGTGAACACAGTCCGGTTGAGGCTCTCGCTTCAAAATGAAAATATGAGTTAAAAGTATGACCAATGCGAGAGCGACACAAAACAACTTCATCCCTCCTGTTGGTTCTATAGGAGTTGGGCCAATCTCCTAGGAGAGGCTTAATGTGATGAAGTTAATTTGTGCCTGCAAAATCCCAAGACCGTTGCCAGCGGTCATAAATAAAATGATTTATACACGAATTAAAATCTTTATATGGTATTAAAAAGGGTGATTGGGGAAGATCTAAAGCAGCTTTGGCAGCAAAATCTGCTTGATCATTCCCCCTTATATCTACGTGACTGGGGAGCCAGCAAAAGACGACTGACTGGGGAGCCAGCAAAAGACGACGTCTTTACTGTTGAACTCGTATGATAATAGCAGATGATAAACATCTGCT